TCTCAGGAAAATGCACCTCACTTTTATGAGTTTTCCTCCACATTACATCCATCACACCTACCCACAATTCACTCTAGAAGAACACAGTGACAAATGCCAGACAAACCCGTTTCTCTCAAAAGGCAGGATAACAATCTAACAATTAAACAGGTAAATGTCCACCCAACTACCGTATTTCCCCATGTATAAGCACCCCCTTTGTATAAGCCAACCCCCCAATTTTTGGACTGTGAAGTTTTGAAAAAAATATTTTATTAGAGAAACAAGTTATGAAGAAAGAAAATTTACAAAGAAACAAAATTCGACGTCTAGATCTACAACTTCGGTCATGACGCCGAAAGCGGTGCGGGCGACGCTAGCAATCTACGCATCGGAACGAGAGTAGGAACGAAGCATTCAGGCCGATGCCTAGCGTATGCATTTCTATCGCGTACTCGCACTCGTAATCGTATCATCACGTACAATTTTTACAAAAAAGTATAGCATGCTGCTGGAAAACCAGTTTATTCCTACTTTATTATTTTATGCATTTTTCACGTATAAAAAGTGTACCTGCTTTGTATATGCCACCCCCCTACTTTTTGGGCTTGAAAATTTTGGAAAAAAGGGGTGGCTTATACATGGGGAAATACGGTAACTGGAGAACAATATGGGACAATATGGAATAACATCACGCTATTTTTTTCTTAAAAGTATAGAAGCTACATTGAGGCTTATAACCACACCCATCCTTTCTTTCCAGGGTAAATTTCTCGTTGAACTCATCTCAGTTTTTTCCCCAAAATTGGGCTGTGTAATTGTTGGAACATGTTACCTTCTATTTTTAACTTGCTGCCCAAACTCTTAACAGTCTGAAATTCTTCTGGAGAAAGAAGAAAGAAAAACAAAACCAAGGATTGAAAAAAAAAATGCTTCCCCTTGTGGAACTGGGAATTATTTGTCACGCAACTCTTTAAATCTAAGATTTTGATCCAGATGTGGTCACCTAAAGCAAAAATCTTCAAACATGGCAAGTTTAAGACTTGTGGACTTCAACTCCCTGAATTCCTGAGCTAACGCAACTGGAGAAGGAATTCTGGGAATTGAAGCCCACAAGTCTTAAAGTTGGCAAGTTTGAAGGCCCCTGACCTAAAGCCACAGAGTGTAGCCACCTTAGAAAGAGTTCCAGGTATTCTGACTTACACCGTTGTCTTCTCTTCCCCACTTTCTTCCATGACCTCATTTTAAGTTTCGATTATTGTGCCTCACACATATTTCTTTAACTGTACGCATTCTATGAAGTTTCAGCCTGCATGATGAAGCATGTTCTTGTTCTGGCATGTCCAATGCAGGAGTAGTTGGAGGCCCAGTTGTTGACTCAAGCTGGGCTGCTGAGTAATAGAGATGACACCGTGTCTTCTCTAATACAACAATTAAGGTGGGAAAGAGGCCATATGTGAGTCATTCCTTTACAGGACAGAGTTGCCAACTTATCCATTGACCTGGGCAGAAGGATTTTACACACGAAACTTCATGAGATCACCCAACCCAGGTTTCAGTACAATCTCGCTCAGAGATCTCTTGCCGCTGTCCTTGAAGGCAGAAGATCTAACGGGGTTTTCTATATTTTTGGTGGGAGCTGTGATCAGATGCCAAACCCAAAACAGGCTTCCGTAGGATTTTCCTTGTACCGGTACAGGTAGTCCTTGACTTACGACCACAATTGAACCCAAAATGTCTGTTGCTAAGTGAGACCTTTGTTAAGTGGTTTTTGTCCATTTTACACCTGTGGGCTTCAAAAGTTTTAGCTGCAGGTTCTCTGCCCAGTTGCTGGGAGGGCATGACCATGGTTGGCGTGGCCTAGTCGACCTCCTGCACCACCACGGGCTCCGGAGGCTTTCCTCGATCCTCCAGGAAGGCGAAAACAGCCTCCCCGGGCACTGGAGGCTCTTTGGAAGCCAGAAAAAGGCCCATTTCTGGCCTTCCCGAACTTCCGAGAGGCCCATTTTTGGCCTCCCCGAGCCTCCACGTGTGCCCTGCACTTAACTGCATCCAAAACGGGCCACGCGGGGTCTCCTGGGAGGGGCAAGGCGGAGTGGGCAGGGCCAGCCAGGAGTGGGATTTGGGGGTTCTCTGAACTGCGCAGAAACTTAACTAAAGGTTCTCCGAAACCATGGCGAACCCCCAGCAACCCACTCCTGAACACAATCCTGATGCAGCTCTCAATAAAATCAAGTTTGACACCCCTGATCTAAAGTAAAAACTTCAGAGATCGTTTTTTTTTTTCTTTTAATGATGATTTTGGTGTTATTGTTATTGTGCTGAAGTTGCCAGTCCTGCCATTGGTTGGGCTTGTGTGACTATATTAGAATTGCCAGCCTGTTTTTTAAATTTTGTTGTGTTCTGTTTGTAACGCGTTTTTCAGGTTGAACCGCTATCTGGAGTTAGATACCAGTCGAATTCAGCTGGTGCAGAAGAAAAAGGATTGATTGATTGATTGATTTATCACATCTATATAGCCACCCCTCTCACGCAAAGTGAGGGAAAGAGAGAGAAGAAGAGAGAGCAATTTGCTGGGAGTCTACGTTTCTTCGTGAAACGTGAAGGAAAGAACTTGAGATGTAAGAAATTCAAAGGGGAAAAAAAATACGACACTAACAGATTGGTCTGCCTCCCAGATTTCCCGTTGTTATTACATAACCTTGGGCAGAAATGAGGAACAGAATCTGAGCAAAAACCGATAAAAATAAAACAAAATAGCCTTCTAAAGTGGGAAGGAAGGAGAAGATAACAATAGTTACGACCAGTCTTTCCACAATTCTTACTCACCAAGTAATGGAAGGTGAGGTTGATTATGTCCAAACTCAAGAGAGGAGTTAACTACAGGTTTAACTGTATATAGATCATCCTTTATTCCCTCAAGGATCACTTAATTATCAACGCCATTCCTCTCCCACCAAGCCTATTATTTAAAACCTGACTTTATTTCTCCATCTCTTCTTCTGCTACTTCGCTTTAGCCTTTCTGTTAAAATCATTCCAAAGTTCTTTTTAATATATCCCTATAAATTGCATATTCTTTTCCCTGGACACATGACATACAACCACAGCCTCCTCTTTTAGAGAATTGGGAATAGTTTTCAAAGTCTGGAAGCATCTCAGGCTGCTTTACAAAGTTTAGCAACTACATGCTGGTGCGCAGAGGTATCTGTAGGCTTTAGTCAAATAAGATGTGCATTAAACTAAAAACAGACAGTGCTTGGATCATACTTTCATGACCAACCTCCTGAGTTCTTGGATCACACGGTGTGGATGCAGATAACAGATAATCAGAGTTGGAAGGGACTTTGTAGGTCATCTAGTACAACCCCCCTACCCCCACCCAAGCGGGAGATCCTACACCATTTCTGACAAATGGCAGTCCAATCTCTTCTTGAAAGTCTCAAGTGATGACCCTCCCACAACTTCTGTTGTGAAGGCAACTTCTGTTCCATTGGTTGATTGTTCTCACTGTCAGAAAGTTTCTCCTTATTTCCAGGTTAAATCTCTCCTTGTTCAGTTTCCATCCATTGTTCCTTGTCCAGCCTACAGGTGCTTTGGAGAATAGCTTGAACCCCTTACTCTCTGTGGCAGCCCCTCAAATATTGGAAGACCTCTATCATGTCTCCCCTGGTCCTTCTCTTCAGTAGACTAGCCAAGCCCAGTTCCTTTAACCGTTCATTGTATGTTTTAGCCTCCAGTCCCCTAATCACCCTGGTTGCTCTTCTCTGTACTTTTTATAGAGTCTCAACATCTTTTTTATAATGTGGTGACCAAAACTGGATGCAGTACTCTAGGTGTGGTCTTCCTAAGGCTTTATAGAGTGGTATTAGTACCTCCCTTGGATACACTTAACTGTTGGGCAAACTAAGTTTCCATAAATCCCTTTTTCACCAGAAGGGCTGGTTCAGTAAGAGAAGCGGGACTAAATAGGTAATCCTTGAGGCATGGCCACAACTGAACACAAAATTTCTGTTGGTAAGTGAGACACTTCTTAAAAGAGCTTTTACAATCTTTCTTGCCACAGTTGTTAAACCAATCGCCGCAATTCTTAAGTTAGGAACAAGATTGCTTGAGTGGGTTCTCCATAGACTTTGCTTGTCAGAAGTTCTCACAGGGGGATGACACGGCCCTGGGATACTGCCACTGTCATAAATAGGAACCAGTAGCGGTGTGCTACCCGTTCGGCCGAATGGGTAGTTTAAAAAAGCCTCCAACGATCAACTGAGTGGAGGGGTAAAGGCCTCCAATCAGCTGAGAGGAGAAAGGAGACAGAAGCGCAGGATTGGCCCTCCCACCTTTGCCCTTTTCTCTTCTTCATCCTCTCAAACTGATTGGCGCTGCAGGCCTCAGCTGCTGTGGGCAAAGCTGCATGCGCACGTTAAGTGCGCACGCGCGATCACTGAACCGGTAATGAAACAGGTAGGATCCCACTGCTGATAGGAACCAGTTGCCAAGCATTCAAACGTTGATCACATCAACTCTGGGGATGCTGCCATGGCCGTAAGTATGAAAAAACGGTCATGTCCCTTTTTTCCCGTGTGGTCGTACCTTCAAATGTTCTCTAAACAAATGTAATACAGGGGAAGACCTGTATTCCTTCTGACAAGATAGAAAAGCCTTAGGAACTCCGTATTTGGATATACATGAGGTTTACCCCCTGGCAACCAAAGCAGAGCCCTGCCGTGACCTCCCAAATAGTTTCACTTGATGGAGAAAAGAAGAATTCCTTTTCCATGTCTTCCGTCATCTTTGCCATCTCTTGCTTCTCCAAGTTCAGACTTGCCTCTAAATTGCTGTTCTCTCCTGCCTCAAAGTCCTGGATGAAGAATGTAAAAAGAAACAAAACACACACACACACACACACACCCATCAACTGGCTGTTCTAGTTCCCGGTAGGGGTGTCACCCCAGTAAGTGGCCTCCAAGTGCTGAGAAAGGGAAGTGATGGGTTAGAGAGTGGGATGAGAGGTATGGAAGAAAGCCCTGCAGCCAAGCAAGAAGCTGCTGAACAGCCAAGTCTAAGGGGGTGTGGCTGAGAAATGAGAAAGAACGCCCTGCCCGAGCCATCGACTTATATTTAATGTTTAAGCTGGATCTTTTAAGGACTTGATAGAAGCAGAACGTTCTCAAAACCGGCAAAGGGAAAGAAAAAAGAACCAAGGCAAGGTTGGGACTTGGACGGCGTAATGATGGGTGCCTACCTTCAACTCAAGATGAGCCCATCTGTCCTTCTGGTGGCCTTGACGCTTTTCATGAAAGGTAGGAGATGGAAGATTGTATGGCAACTGCTACAGCTTCAGGATAAGCCATGTTGGGACCAGGAATGCTTGGGAAGGCAAGGGGTGGCATCTGGAAAAGGCTTGGATGAGGAGATGAAAACCTCTGTCTTGGTTCAGTTCTCAGGAATGGTACTTTGTGTATCTACCTGAAATCCTGTTATAAGGAAGGCATTGGGGATATAATATGAGAGGCCCGTCCTTAAACATTTCAGCTCATTGCTAAGCCTATTTATAATAAATCTAAATTCTAGCACAGAAGCTAAACAAATCTTTAAATGAAAGATTTTTTCCAGGGCATTAACCATACCAGGTTCAAATAAAGAAGTTTGCTTGGCATAAATACATGGAAGTGCCAAAAGGGTGACTCTAATGATCAACGCGATATTTTTTAGGCCGTGATGTTGCAAATTTATGTCCGCTGCAGTATATATTTACTTCATTGTACTGGCTTTTTAATTGGTTTTAATTAATGTTCTGATTGTTCACCACTACCCAGAGTTATTTGTTTGAATGGGTAGCCATACAAGTTGAATAAATAAATAAATTATCTTAGATTGCTATATGTCATTTCTCTAAGATAGTTCTTGTGGCAAATGTTTGTCTGTCTGTCTCTATCATTTGTCTATCTATCATCTATCTGTAACATCTACTTATTATTTATCTATGTTTCTATCTCAGTCTCTATCTCTATATCTGTTTGTGTCTATCTATCTATCATCTATCTATCTATCTATCTATCTATCTATCTATCTATCTATCTATCTATCTATCTATCTATCTA